AACTTATATTTTTGATATTTATTTTATATACTTTAATGCCATTTAACAAAAATCAACCAAAAAAATGAGTTCGCGTGTCACCTCTGACACGTATGTCATAGGTTCGTCATCACTGTTGTAGATTATTTCTAGCATATGAATGTACTTGGATATCAGAGTTTCAATTTTAAGGGTATTCCAGTCACTTTACAAAACATTCATTCTAGGTCAGTGATGGCGAACCTTTAGAGCTCGGCATGTCAGCATTTTGAAAAACCCTAACTTAACTCTGGTGCTGTGTCACATATAGAAATTTTTTGATATTTGCAACCATAGTAAAACAAAGACTTACATTTTTGATATTTATTTTATATGTTTAAATGCCATTTAACAAAGAAAAATCAACCAAAAAATGAGTTAGCGTGTCACCTCTGACACGTGTGTCATAGGTTCGCCATCACTGTTCTAGGTTATTTCTAGCATATGAATATGGCCAGGCAGGGGGAAGGCAGTGCTGATACATCAGGAAGAAAACACCATGCACGGGATAAGGCAGGCTGTTTTCTGTAAGTAACAGGGTCTACATGACCTAAGGAAAAAACAAAAACAACAAAAATTGTTGGCACAGTTCACATAAGTTTCTGTCTGTAACAAGAACAAAAAGAAATACTCTAATTTCCTTTTGCACACTTGTTATTTTTTTAAATTTATTAAATTAATTGGGGTGACATTGGTTAACATGAACATATAGGTTTCAGGTGTAGTGTATGCTTTGTTTCTAAAGAAAGTATATTAAAAAATAATCCTTACCTTGTACTCATTTTTCTTCATTTCTTCTATTTTTGTTCTATTCTTTTATAGTTTAACATGTTTTATTCTGAATATAAATTTGGTCTAATATATTGGTAAATCTAGATTTCCTGTTTTGAATTTTAAGAGAAACTAATACTAGTTGAATTCACAGAGATTTATTTTCTTTTTAATAAACAGGTTTCTATGTTTGTTTTGGTTTTTGCCTTTACTTAGGACATGTTTGTGTGTGTTTTTAATCAAAGGACTACAGGTTCTTCAACCACACCCATGCCCATGAAGTCTCTTGAAAATATTGATAAAGCTAAAGCTGTCACTATAGACACATTTTTAGGTAAAGGGAAATTAACACATTACTGGTGTTGGAAATTTGTATTTTAGGGAAAAAAAAAGGATACTCTCTTTAAGTTCAAGGTCTTGCAAAATATTAGAAAATGTGTACACGTGGTTGCATTGATATACACTTTTTAAAATTGCCATCACACTTTAGATTCTGATTTTACTCAACTTCACTGAACTCCTCTGGGACATTCTGACTTCCACAAGTAAATTAATTGTGTACAGAAGTTTACAAGCCTAATTTTGGTGAAGTGAAAAGGTTAGTACAATGCAAGTAATGATTCAAAGTCAGGTATTTTGAAGCATCTATTATGTCTAGACTATAAAACAAGTACAGATTAAAAACAAGCATACCTCTAAATTCGCCAGCAGCTGCTATTGTAAAGGAGGATTTGAAGAAAAAGTTTGCATTCAGTGGAAAAAACTGGCTAATAGCTGGTTATTAGCTTATTATCATCTCTTTATTTTAACATAAAGAGTACATCAGTCTAACCTGCATATTTCCCAATTAGTTTATAGATATACTCTTAAACTTCTTCAATCAATTTTTTTTTCTTTAGCCTTTCTACTTGGTTGGTGTATCGGTCAGAGTTCTCCAGAGAAACAGAACAAATAGAATGTATGTATCTGTCTGTCTATCTATAGATCTATTGTGAAGGAGGAAAAGTAATTTCCCTGATACTCTTCTAGGTTCTTGGCTGAGACCCTCCTGTAATAAAAGACAGGTTAACAGGAGGAAAACACACATATGTGCCTCTTGTGAACATGGGAGATACCCAGGAAATTGAGCAACTCCCTGAAATGGCCCGTACCACCATCTTAAAGTCCATCTCCAGCTAAAGACAAAAGAAAGCTGTTGGCGGAAGGGAGGCCAGTTATGGGAGGTCACCAGGAAAAGCACAGTAAACAAGGGTAGTTGTTATGGGGGTTTAGGTTAGTGCCTTTCCCACTCCTAAAAGTTTCTAAAGATTTGATAAACCTCCTCTTTGTACTGAGGGAGACACCTTTACAAATGAAGACATCCCTTATAAATATAAGTGTCTTTTACAAAGGAGTAAATTTTACTTGGTTTTCAGAACTTCTCCTGTGTCTGCAGGAGAGGCACATATTAAAAGTAGCAAATACTACATTTTCAGGGATTGTTTCTATAGTTCATTAAAAATGGCAGAGCAGCCCTAGCCGGTTTGGCTCAGTGGCTAGAGCCTGCGTCCTGAAGGGTCCTGGGTTCGTTTCCCATCAAGGGCATGTACCCCGGTTGCAGGCTCAATCCCCAGTAGGGGGCGTGCAGAAGGCAGCTAATCAATGATTCTCTCTTATGTTTGATGTTTCTATCTCTTCCTCTCCCTTCCTCTCTGAAATCAATAAAAATATATTTTAAAAAATGGCAGAGCAGAAGAGAAGAAGGAGTCTGGTTTCTTGAAGGATCATAGAGTTAATGCACTGGCCCTGAATTACCCACTTTAGAATTTCCTGTTATGTGAAAATGTAACCTTTACTTGCTTAAGCCACTATAGTTATGTTTCTATTACATGAAGCTACACAGAAGCTTAAAAATTATTGATTTCTGTCAGTCTTTTGGAATCAAATTCAGGGAATACTTTGGTCCATTTCTGTAGGATACACATTCCCCTCTTCTTGTCTATGAAAAACAATCCTTTTGCTTCCTGATTCCTGAGTGGGTTTGGAGATAGATAGAATTGTGTCCAAGCCAGTCTTGAGGAAATGATAGCATTTTTTTCTTCTTTCCTTTTTTCCTGTATTCTTTGTACTTACATACACACATATGTGCTTCAGCATAGTGTGAGGAGGAGGGAAAATTCCCCTTTCCTCTGCTTCTCTATGGCTGGCCAAATTGTCAAATCAACAGGAGGCAGAATGACTAGAGAAAATCACATTTAATCTTTTGCCCACAGGAAGCCCACATACATGAGAGAATCAGAGACCCTGCATACATTTGAGGTTCAGAGATAGAAAGGGGGATTGAAGTTTATAAGACATCCTGGGCTTGGGTTGAGGTGAGGTGTCTTGGGGGCTTCAAGAGGTCATTGGAGGGTAAGAAGAACAGACATTAGTAATTAATAAATTAAATGGCTGTCTCAGTGATTGAGCATTGATCTATGAACCAGAAGGTCAGGGTTCAATTCATGGTCAGGGCACATGCCAGGGTTGCCAACTCGATCCCCAGCAGGGGGCGTGCAGGAGGCAGCCAATCAACGATTCTCTTTCCTTTTCCCTTCCTCTCTGAAATCAATAAAAATATATTTTAAAAAATAGTTTGTTCTGGCCTATAGAAAAGCCAGAAGAAATTATTTCTTATAGTCTCTATTAGGCAAGGCCTTTAATTCAAATTCTTCTGGATAGTTAAAGAGAGAGAAAGAAGTTTCTCTTAAGCCTGAAGCTATCACCTCTAGCTCAAAGTAATCTGCAAACCACTGAGGTACATCTGGGGGTGGCTTGTTCTGGACCCCAAGAACAGTAAATTTTGTCAACTACCAAAATAAAAGGATGGTTTACACTGATAACAACCATGGGAGCAAGAAAAAGGATTCCCTTTGAATCTGCCCCAAACCCCTATCTTTAAATTCTGTTCCAAACTCTGTTGCTCTTTATTAGACCAAGTAAATTTAAGAAACAAGATTGTAGTCAATTACTTTTCCAAGAGATCTAGTGAAAAGTAGGCATTATTGAAAAGTAATTCAATGGGATTTAGTAGTCTGTGAGACTGTACTTGGAACAAAGAGGAAAAATGTACTCTTAGTTATTTCTAGTAAATCAAGTATTAGATACAAGTTAATCAGGTGCTTGAACAACATGGATAATTGTGGTAAACATGAATACAAGTATTTCTGTATCTAAAAAGTAATGCAACTCTCTCATGAGAGCCAACAGAGTTTATGTTTATCAGATACACAATAAATTTAGTTACCTTCAAAGGTACATTAGGAATCATAATCCCATACAAAGTCTTTATCATCCACCCATCCCTGGACCTCTGCTCATTTCAAGTAATTTGTGAGTTGAAAGGGTTATTTGTGGCAAGTAGAGGATTATATCTAGTCCTTTTATTTTAATTAATTTTTAAAATATTTTTATTGATTTCAGAGAGGAAGGGAGAGGAAGAGAGAGATAGAGACATCAATGATAAGAGAGAGAATCATTGATCAATTGCTCTCTACTGGGCATGTGCCCTTGACCAGAATCAAACCCTTCAGCCCAGGGCTGATGCTGAGCCAAACCAGGGCCTCTCTGGTCCTTTTAGATCAACTACAGGTAGAGGACATAGTGTTTGTTTTAAACCAAATAAAACCACACCATCCAACCTTTCTCAACCCTATTTTATCAGGATAAAAAAAATTAAGATGGTCACAAATACAACTCATTTCTGAGGGATGTTAAAATAATTTACAAGAAAACATTAATATTCTTTGTGCAAGAAAACAGGTGTTCTATCATATAAATTGTTTCATATTGTTTTTCAGGATATAGGAAACATATTTCTTTAGTGAATAAAACCATATTTGACAATAGTCAGGAAGTAGGTATATGAGTTTTATCCCTGAAAGGAAATACAAAAAATAAGAATGTTTTAAAAGCAATTTGTTTTTTGGACAATATATACTGACCATTATTACAGTTATAAATTATACTATTATATATAGCTTATGAAATTTTAGAGAACCCAAACTTAAAAGACATGAAAATAATTGTATTTTTCACCACAGTAAATTTTAAACTACATGGAAAATAACTACTTTCTGACTTAATATTATAGGGGTTCAGGGTGAGTGACCCTTATATGCGACTCTGTGGCCCGAGATTATTTTGAGCAAAAGGGAAGTTTCCCATAGAGGAGAGCTTCTTCCTCCTCCACAACACAATGACATCAGCTCTGCATTACTGATATTATTGAAATAATACCTGAAGTTTATTTAAAATTAAAATAAAATAAAGTTTTATTTTAAAATTATTTAAAATAACACCTAAATTTCTTTTATATAGAAAGAGATTCTAGCCGAAACCGGTTTGGCTCAGTGGATAGAGCATCGGCCTGCAGACTGAAAGGTCCCAGGGTCGATTCCGGTCAAGGGCATGTACCTGGGTTGCGGGCACATCCCCGGTGGGGGATGTGCAGGAGGCGGCTGATCGATGTTTCTCTCTCATCGATGTTTCTGACTCTCTATTTCTCTCCCTTCCTCTCTGTAAAAAATCAATAAAGTATATTAAAAAAAAAAGAAAGAGATTCTAGTTCTTAGAATTTAATTAACTAACAGCTCAGATGCAGCTGTGCTATGTGCATAACTAGAAAATATGTTTATACTCTACTTTGAGATCTAAGAAAAATGTTACAATCTTTGATAGGAAGCAGAGATTGGGATTCCCTGTATTCTTTAATAATTTTAATATTTACTTATTTACAGATTAAAAAAAATAGGGGAAAATGATAAAATAAAAAGCTCCTAAAAGGAGGGGTAGGGAATGACAAAACCACCCTGGCACTGTTTTTGGTCACCTCACATTTAGTCTAGTTTCTGATTTTGGGGGTTATTCTTTAGGGCTACAGCATGATTGGCATCTGTACTTTGACCAAGTCCTTTTGCCAGATTAAGTAGTTCCAATTTGTGCTACAAAGACCTGTGTAGATCAGTCTTTTTCACTGTGTTCTTCATATAGCAGATTTCAGTCTGTTTATAATTTAAACCTAGTCTCTTTAGTATCTTCATCATTGCTTTCCAAAGACTTCCCATCATATTCGGGGTAAAAGCCAAAATATATTCAGTGACCTACAAGGCCATACATGAGCAAGACCTTGCCTAATGTCCAGCTCTGGCCCATTTGGCTTTAGCTCATGTTGGATTTCTTGCTGCCTTAATGCAGGGCAAAGTTTGCCCTTATCTGAATCTTTGCCGTGCCTTCCCCACTGCCTAGCACACTCTTCCAAAGCCTTTTCTTATTTATCTCCTTCACATCATTAGGTTGTTTCTCAAATGTCACCTTATTGAGAGATTTTTTCTTCTAAAACTCTGTTCCCTTTCTACTCTACTGAAATTATATGGTTTATATATATATATATTTTTTATTGATTTTAGAGAGGAATGGAGAGGGAGAGAGAGATAGAAACATCAGTGATGAGAGAGTCATCAATCAGCTGCCTCCTGCATGACCCACACTGGGGATTGAGCCCGCAACTCAGGCATGTGCCCTAACCAGGTGCAGGAAGTCACCCACTGCCCATACTATCATGAGAGTGCATCAAGGAACGCGGAAGGGTGATGGACCTTGGGTGTTAGCAGGGCTAATGTCAAGCATCATTGTTCTGTTGAGATAGTGGTGGCTCGAAGCAATTTCCTGACCTAATAGCCTCAAAGTAAATGTTTACTAAACCTTACTGATCTTTACTGATCTCTATTGACCTTAGAGACGGTCTCTTTGCTACCTGTTTGCCGTGCTTTACTGAGGGCAAGATGTGTATCTAAATAATTGAATAAAAAGCAGACAAGGCCAGGTTGCAGTGTGCCTCTCCAAGAGAGAGGTCTCCACCTGGACCCCCATGCCTTCTAAATTCATGTTTCTTGTCTAGTGTTTTCATTTGTGGGTCGGCCCCTTCTTCAAATCCCAAACCCCCACCGCAACAGGTTGCGGCAACTGGGAATCGAACCGTGACCTCCTGGCTCATAGGTTGTCACTAAACCACTGAGCCACGCTGGCTGGGCTGAAATTATGTTTTTAAAAACATGTTAGGTGTCACTACCTGAAATTTTATGATTCACTTAATAAATAAGGGTGGCACCTAATTTAGCTGTTTCACATCTTATAGAGTTAGCACCTGGTATATAATTAATACTCAATGAGTGTTTGTTGAATTAACAAAGAATTTATTAATACTGTGTGTGTGGTTTTGTAATTCTTAGTGCATGAAATTGGTAGGAATTCTCTTCTCATAATGTTTTATCACAGACATTTTGAAATTGCCTATTCAACTTGTATATTTCTTTATTCTTTCTTCAGAAATGTAGTGAGAATTTATTCATGAGCTTTGTTGTTAAAAGGAGAGATTTAGGCAGAGCCTAGCATTCCTTGTATGATCGGGTTTACTTACCTTCCTAAAAATATGTCATCTCATTTTGTTTTTTAAAATGGTATAGTACAATTTCTTTAAATTTTTTAAAAATTGATTTTAGAGAGAGAGGAAAAGAGAGAGAAACATGGATTTATTGTTATTTATGCATTGCTTGATTCTTGTATGTGCCCTGGTCAGAGATTAAACCTGCAACCTTGGTGTATCCGGATGACACTCTAACCAACTGAGCTACAAGCTGGGGCTGTTATCTCATTTTTTAATTTTAAAAGCAGGGGTAATGCTTCCTACCTTGTTGAGAAAATATTGACAAATAATATATTTAATTGTGTGTACTATAGAATTCTGCACGTCCTCTATACGTGGCAGCCTTTCCCACCATTGCCCCACACCATATACAGCCTTCACACACACTGAACTTTTTTTAAAAAACAAGGAATAAATCTGGGCATTTGAAGGTTATGTGATAAAAGTGAAAAATCCACTGGGTCAGGAATCAGAGACCTGGCCTCCAGCTTTCCTAAGAGGTTAAAAGCATATTAAGCCCTTTGATCCTTTGAATCTTCATATATAAATTGAAGGTTGTGGGGTGGGCATGGAGAGTGGAGAATAACTGTATTATTTTTAGGTTTTCTAGGTTCCATCACACTCTATAAGTGCTGTGATTCTGTATTTATGGAAAGCTGTTTTCCAGTCTCAAAAGAACTTGATGAGAGTTTCTGTGTCAAACTTCATATATTTCAAAATGGACATTTCTCAATGCAGTTTGCATTTCTTCATCATTTGTGAGGTGATTGAGATAGGAGTGTGGGATTGAAGCCACTGGTGAAAGAAACTGATGTTTCCAGAGATAATCTGCACATATCTCAGGCTTTCATTCTAGTTTATCTAAGATGTTATCTGCAAGTATTGAAAGCAGGTGTGACTTGCTGGCCTCTTCAGGCGTGATTTTGGAAAATGGGAGATTGGCACACAAAATCAGTCATTTTGGTCACTAGTTGTGTGTGAACAGATAGGTCAGATGAATTTAAGCCTTCTTCCTATGTGATACGTCTGTCAAGGTATTTTTCATAGTTTAATTGAACTCTGACATGCTCCTAAAATATGTTGTGATATACAGAATAATGGCTCCACAAAGTTGTCCATGCTCTAATCCCTGGAATCTGTGAATATGTTACCTTGCAGGGCAAAAGAAATTTACAGATGTGATTAAGTTAAAGATCTTGAGATAGACATATTTTCCAGGATTACCTGGATGATCCTGATGTAATCACTGGATCCTCATCAGAGGGAGGCAGGTTAGAGGAGAGAAGAGGCTTTGAAAGTGGAGGAAGGGGTCACAAGGCAAGGAATATAGTTGGACCCTAGAAACCAGAAAAGGCAAGAAAACAGACGATCACCTGGAACCTCCAGAAGGAGCACAGTGCTTGGACATATTTTATGCTTCTGATTTTGGGGATTGTAAAATAATGATTGTTGTTTTAAGCCATTCAGTTTTTGGTAATTTGTTATAACAGCAATAGGAAATAAATACATAAAAATGTATCATAAAAATGACTGTATGATGTAATTTTCATTAGAAATTCTTTCTACTAATTTTTATAATTAGAAGGTTCAGTGAATAGTTTTAATGAAAAACTTAAAATTTTTTTTTAATAATCTGGAAGTGCTATCATATGTAACAAGTTACCTATAGCTATATTTAGCCACCAGAAAACCGCATGGAGTAACTCTTTATTATGAATCATACCCTTTTTAAAAATTAATTATATTTGGTAAGAACACATAGCATAAGACCTACCTGCTTAACAAAATTTTGAGTGTACACTAGGATATGGCTAACTATGAGCACAGTGGTATACAGATTTCTAGAACTTATTCATCTTACATAACTGCAACTTTATACCCTTTGCATTTCCCTCTACCTTAGCCCCTGGCAACCACAATTCTGCCTTCTGCTTCTGTGACTTAACTGACTTATACTATTGATATAAGTGGAATTATGCAGTAATTGTCCTCCTGTGACTGGCTTATTTCACTGAGCATAATATTCTCAAGGTTCATCCATTACTGTTGCATCTGGTAGGATTTCCTTCTTTTTAATGGAGAATTATTCATCTACTTTTTGAACTTTTTATTTTGTTAACTTTTATTGATTTCAGAGAGGAAGGGAGAGGGAGAGAGAGATAGAAACATCAGTGATGAGAGAGAATCATTGATTGATTGCCTCTTGCATGACCCCTACTGGGGATCGAGCCCACAACCTGGGCTTGTGACCTTGACTAGAATCAAACCCAGGACCCTTCGGTCTGCAGACTGATGCTCAAACCTGCTAGGGCTTCATCTACTTTTTGGATGGAGATTCCAGATATTGTATATGAGATTGCTGAGATAAGTGACCTTCACATATGTTTCCCCTGTGTGATAATTTTAAAATATGTCCACAAATTCCAGAGGTTGAACACAAGATTCCTAGAAGTCGGAAAAGGCAAGACTTTAGTTAGTGAGTTGGCCTAACTAACTTGCTTCTAATAAAGAGAGAATATTGCACAAATGAGGGCATGCGACTTTCAGGACTAGATCTGAAGGCATTGTCCATGCCCGTGCTCTTATTCTAGGAGAAATCAGCTTCCATGTCATGAGGACACTCAAACGGCCCCATGGAGAGGTGCCTGTGGCGAGTTGCTGAGGCCTCCTGCCAAAGGCCGTATAAACCTTGGAAATGGATTCTTCAGCTGCCGTGGGGCCTTGAGGTGACTGCAACCTTGTTCTAGGTCTTGACTGCAACCTCCTAACAGACCCTGAGCTGGAACCACTCAGGTGTGTCACTTCCATCCTGACCCTCGGAAAATGTGTGAGGTGAATAAATGTTTATTGTTTTGCATTGTAAAGATTTGGGATAATTTTCACATAGTATAATAATACATGATTGGGCAAAGATAGGTTTACAGCTGTGAGTATGTACAAAAAAGAGTGTATTTTTCTCTATTGTAATCATCAAGACCTGCATGTCTTTTTTCATATGAACAACTGTACATCTACTTTTGCCTGACCTGTATTATAGAGCTAAGTAATACAGGTCAGGCAAAAGTAGGTGTACAGTTGTTCATATGAAAAAAGACATGCAGGTCTTGATGATTACAATAGCTTTATTCATTCTGTGTTTTGTACATACTCACAGCTGTAAACCTATCTTTGCCCAATCATGTATTATTATACTATGTGAAGAAACTGTTCTAACATTATTGAGATGGTTCACTCTTTTTTTTTTTTTAAGAGTACAGAGAATGGGAACGAGCCAGCCTGGATTGTGCTTACTATTTAGAAAAAGTGGAAAAGAAAGAAACCACACATTTATTTTGAGAAGCAAACTATAGAATTCACAGGAAAGTGACTAATGAGGGATGAAAGGGTCAAAGAAAAAAGGCTTTTCTTCTGCCTCCTTTATTCTGTCTGCCCAGCAATTAACATCATTTACCTTCACAGTTCACAATCAGTTCGTATAATTAGAGAAGGGTAAGCTCTTCTCTCTGGGAGAGGATGGTTAATTTAAACTGTTTGGAAACTACTTAAAAAAATCACTGCTCTGAGGGATGGAATCTAGATATTATGGCCTATATGTAACCAAAGCCAGGACGATAACTCTACACCAGGACCTGTGCCAAATTGTCTCAAGGTGAAATCATGGCAGAAAATATTTGTTATTTGTAGTTTGTCTGAGTCTAGAATGTTGCCTTTCATTGCTGCCAGTGTGTGACTGTCTTACCACTTATTGACAGGACATCATCATTTACGTCAGATAGTATGATTAGAGTTCACATAACTAAATTCTTTAAGTTTTGTTTTGTTCTTAGATAGTCTCATTCTTTTTGTATTTATTTTGAGTATCTACAGGTGTCAAAACAGAGATCCTAGACATTTCCCACTTGGTAGGTGGAATGACTTGAAATTTGTACTTTGAAGGAAGTGGCAGCAGTAGCCTACCAGCCTCTGGAACTCAACTGTGAAAACACTGAGTGGCAGAAGGACACCGTGAGAACGCAACGTCTCGTCCTCAGTGTAGGTGTCCAGCTGCAGAAATAGATTATGTTCAATCTTGTCGGTTGCTTTGTTGAATCCAAGTCCTCAAGTAAACAGAAAGATCTCACGATAAAAGTCTCGCTGATAAAAGCCTGAAATTGTGTGTCTGGCACAGAGGTCAGACATTAAACACAATGGAGATCACTCATTGTCCTTCATCTGGAACAATGTGACTCCTCCAGCTATGACAGGGACAGGAGAATATGGCTTCAGTCTAATCCTGTTAAAATTCTCCACTTCTTTCTCATTCTCAATGAGAGCAAGCACACAAGGTCCGGGCTTCCAATGAGAACTGCCTTCTAGAGCCTGTTCAGCCTTATAAATTAGTCTACAGCTGCATTTGCAACTGAATCTTTGAAGGACCTTCCTTCATTCCCCAACCTGTCTGTGTGCCTCTTCAGTCATTTTATTATAGACTAGAGGCCCAGTGCACGAAATTCATGCACTTGTGGGGGTGGGGGTGGGGCTCCCTCAGCCTGGCCTGCACCCCCTTGCAGTCTGGGAGCCCTCAGGGGATGTCCAGCTGCTGCTCTCCAGAGGAAGTGGGCCTGAGCCAGCAGTCAGACATCCTTGTGGGGAGCGGGCCTAAGCCGGCAGTTGGACATCCTTAGTGCTGCCATGGAGGCAGGAGAGGCTCCCGCCATCACCACTGCATTCTCCAGCTGTGAGCCTGGCTTCTGGCTGAATGGCGGTCCCCATGTAGGAGCACACTGATCACTAGGGGGCAGCTCCTGTGTTGAATGTCTGCCCCCTGATGGTCAGTGCGCGTCATAGTGACTGGTTGTTCTGACGTTTGGTCAATTTGCATATTAACCTTTTATTATATAGGATAACAGCATTATTGATGGCATGAAAGAAAAGGCAGATGGAGGCCCTATTTTGGTGTCACCAGTTCAGGCAGCCACATCCCGGCACTCCTAAAGTGGAGTGATAGGTCTGGGACAACATTTCCAGCATAGAAAATGCATGAGAAACAAAGAAATCTGGCTGACCATGGAAACACTGTGAGTGCCAGGTCACGCGGAATCCCTGCATCACTTCATTGAGAGATGTTAGGCTGCAGCTGTTTCCTCTAATTCACTCATATCGTGGCTGGGGGCCTAGGTCAAAGCTTAGTACTCCATCCCCCTGTTGAAACCCCTGATGTTCCATCTCCTCTCTGAATGTACTCCAGGAATGCAAGAAAATAAACCTCATTTTACTGAAAGCACAACAGATTTACTGTGACTTATCAGACTATTTATTTAACCATACTTACTTAAAAAAAAAAGAAAAGACTGCAGTAAATGACCATGATTTTTCTAGGAAACAAAATAGAAAGAACTGTGAACATGCCAAGCTTTGCTGGAATTTATACAATGATTATATTTCAGTCAAATATTAAGAGCAAAATGCATATTTTTGTCAAGTTTACATGTACTTTCCAAACATCCTAACTTTGAGATTTTTTACTTAATTTTTTTTTACTTTCTCCATCTTTTGTTAAAAAACTTCCCCCCTTACATTTGACCCACTGACTACTATTGGTTCCTGTCTAGAGGACACATATTCAAAATGCATTTGAGGAAGAAAATAAAATAGTGTCAGAGTTGAATCAAGATGTTAGAAATATCTCATGTGACAGCAGGGTAACTCCCGAATACTTTAATTTAAAAATAAGTAAAGAAAAGAACCAAAATCAATATATATATTTCTCTTTTTTACTAACCAAATTAGTCACTGAGAATGATCGAGCCAGGCTATGTTGCCAATATTTATATTCTAGAAAACAACTAATCTTCCATGAGAATAATTCACCTGTTATGTGAATTTTATTTGATTTCCCCGGAAAACCCAACCCTGTTATTAAACAGTCTTCTCAACATTTCTCCTTGGATAGTACTTAACACAAATAAATTGTGAGATTCATTACTAATATCCTCTGTTCCCACCTTGCTCTCTTCCTCCATCCCCCCAGTTCATGGCATTGATGGTTTTGTCACTGTTTGTCAGCTGCATTGTTGTGAGCGTATTTGTAAGACAAAGAATAAGCAGAATAACCAAAGAGCTTCTAAGATGGGATGAATGCAAGTAGGACTGGCAGGAAAATAAAGCACCATTTACAGCCACTTCAGAATTCTTCTTTTGAGATAGGACAGCTGTGCAAGTTAAGGAAAAAATGATAACCATTAATCACTGTTAAGGAATGGGTGTACTCATTTTCATCACATACATCAGTAGCCAATAGAGTAAATAGTGGATGGTATAGGGACTAAAAAAAAAAAAATAATAAAATAAAACTTTTCCTCCCAACTTCCAAATTCTTCTAGCTGGGCTAATCAAATTAATAGAGACGGATTAACAGGAGAAAATGAAATTTTAATATGTGTACATGGGGAATATAACATAAACATAAAAATCCCCAAAGTGAGGTAACACCGGGTATATATGTTATTTTGGACAAAGGATAAAGCGGGTAGGGGAGGCCTGAGATTCCAAAAGTGAGAATGGGCAATTTACAGGTAACTGGGGAAGAATGGAACACACACACATCTCAGGTAAACGCTTCCTTCCGTAGAACACAGGGTGAGCTAGTAAACAGGCCCCTGCTCTCCCACTCACCATGTTTACTTCAAATCAGGATAAGGGCAATGCCCTAAGCTTTTCTCCCTGGAGTAGGCCTTTCAGATCTCTCCTTTAAGAGTTCTATTTCTTAATAACCAGCTTAACATCAGTAAACCGAAAGGCAGCTTTACGGTTTTGGTCCCCCTCAATGGTTATAATGTTAGCCTTTGAATGTGCAGTGTCATTGAAACATTGGGCACTGTATTTTATAGGAAGATACTTGTTTATATGCTTGGCCTTTTCAGCTGACTTGACCCACAAAACTTGTTTCTCCATCAGTTAAATATCACAGGTTGGGTTCTCTGGGTAGCAGATGCTAAAGCGAAGTTTAGGGTATAGGATGTTTACTAGGAAGTGTTTTGGGAATAATGTCTATAGAATAAGGAAGATGGAAACAGGACTGGGTAGAGGAAGAAATTGAACTGCTATGCAGATCTCAATAGTCTTGGTTGACTCCATGAAAAGATTGTTACTAAAATGTCTTGTCAGAGTTGTCTTGGTTTGGAACAAAATAGCCTGGTCTTTTTTTTTCCATGTCAACTGTTGGATGTGGGACACCCTAGGAAGGGTGAGACCTTAACTGAGGTGTGAGGTGGCCCTACAGCAGAGACCACCCTGAAGGGGCTGATAGCTGAAGGTGTTTGATGACAGTCCTTTGGCAACTGGACATCTGGGTGCTAATCTACATGTCCATTACACCAAGTCAGTGACTTTCAACAATTTTTTACTAAGGTCCACAATAAGAAATACCTTTTATACCACTACCCAGCACACATGCATGCACACATACAAAAGTTTCACAAACTAATAGTTTAGTACTTATCTCTGTTGTATGTGATACACTCTGATATTTTCTATTTCAAATTTGGTTTGATTTCATCCCATATTATTCTATTCTCCTTTACTTTTAAAAATGCTATTTACAACACACTAATTTGATTTCCACATGCAGTTTGAAAATATGGAATTGGATTGATTGTGGAAGTAAACCAATATTGAGCAAGTTCTCTAGTGTAAGTAGAATGGGCCAGCAGAGTGTTCCTGCATGTGGTTGGATTATTTGCATTTCTAGGAAACAAGAGAAGTGCCACAGAACAGCTTTGCAGATCTGTGGGCCCAGAGAGGGTGTGGTTCATCACAAATCTACAAATCCTCGAATGCCTCGTTTCAGGTGGAGTGTCATTTGGATTACTTGTTTTAACAATAGGAGCTCCAGGCAAGATTTTCAAAGAAGGATCATAATTACTAGGGAATAAAATAGTCACTGTCAGGGAGTACCATGATTTCCACTTACTTGTAGAGTTTCCGGATGAGGTCAGGTATAAATACCCTAGTTTTCCAGATAGTGGATACCTGTGATCTGTTTTTGAGTACCATGATTTCCACTTACTTGTAGAGTTTCTGGATGAGGTCAGTTTTCCAGACAGTGGATACCTGTGATCTGTTTTGTATTACAGCTTTCTCAGGAGAGGAAGTACTAAAAGAAACGTTTGATGTCATGCTATAGAGCATATGAGTGTTGAAATATATAGGGTAAATGCCCGAATGGGATCGTATGGCTTAAAATTAAAGTTAAGAAAAAGGACTCAATTTTTAGACAAAGATATAAAAAAGATCAAATTCAGGAAGATGACAAAACAATAAATGTTTTTTCTCTGGGCCAAA